CAACAGTGTATAAGTGTTCCAGTCTCTCCACAACCTCTCCAGCATTTATTATTTTGTGTTTTTTGGATTAATGCTAGCCTTGTTGGGGTGAGATGGTATCTTATTGTAGTTTTGATTTGCATTTCTCTAATGGCTAAAGATCATTTCTTCATGTATCTGTTAGCTGCCTGAATGTCTTCTTTGGTGAAGTGCCTGTTTACATCCTTTGCCCATTTTTTAATTGGGTTATTTGTCTTTTTGCTGTTGAGATTTTGCAGTATCTTGTAGAGTTTAGAGATAAGAGGCTGATCGGATTTGTCGTAGCCAAAATTTTTTTCCCAGTCTGTAGGTTGTCTTTTTCCTCTTTTGGTGAAGTCTTTTGATGAGCATACGTGTTTGATTTTTAGGAGCTTCCAGTTATCTAGTCTCTCTTCTGGTGCTTGTGCATTGTTACTTATGGTTCATATTCTGTTTAGGTCATGTATTAGGGCTCCTAGCTTTGTCCCGATTTTTTATTCCGTTGATCTTTATCATTTTAGATTTTATATGTAGGTCTTTGATCCATTTGGAGTTAGTTTTTGTGCATGGTGTGAGGTATGGGTCTTGTTTCAGTTTTTTGCAAATGAATATCCAGTTATGCCAGTACCATTTATTAGAGACTGTCTTTTCCCCAAGTATGTTTGCTTTCTCTTAAGCCTTTGAATTGATCTTGAACCATGAATATGCCAGTTTTTCATAGTTGTCATATATTTTCTAGAGTGTTTATTGCAATATTTTTAAAAATTATTTTTAACGAACTTGGAAGAAAAGCTTTTATATATATTTAAATTATATATATGCATATATTGTATGTGTGTGTATATATAAATATATAAGATGCTTCCCCTGAAATAGGTTACATAGTTAACAAATGAGTAAAATTATGATACTGTAAATTCTAGCTCTACTAAAAACATATCTCTGTGTGTCATTACTTTTGGTGATGAGGCCATGGCTGTCGCTGGATCACACTGCATCACAGAAGAAGGTACAGTATATACTGTAGTTGAGGGTAAAGATAGGGGTGATCATAGTCTTTTTCTTTAAACAACATTAGGTCTTTATTTTACCTGTAACTCTCATAGGAGTCGAGTTCTGTTAATAATGTTCATTGAATGACTTACGTTTTTTTGTTCCTAAAGATCAGTAAGGAAATAGATGCTTAAGTTTTTCCCTTATTTTTTTTTTTCCACAGGAAACAACTCCAAGTTTCCTTTGGACAATACACCAGTTCGAAATCGGGGTGGAGGAGATGGAGATTTTCAATTCAGACCATTTTTTGTGGGTTCTCCAACAGCACCTGAACCCAGCAACAGCTTTTTCAGTTTTGCCTCTCCAAGTCGTGAATTAGAGCATCAGCAAGTCTCTAGTAGAGCCTTCAAAGTAAAGAGAGTTTAGCTCACTTTACAGAATGTTTCTATGTTCATGTTTGGTGATTTCATTTAGCAAATAATCTTTATTCTAGACCGAAGTTGCCAACTTCCCTGTGCTAGTAAGTCTTTGAAATTGTCTTCACCTTTTCAGCTTACGAGAAACTCATTGGTAGTGCGGAGTGGCTTTAGAGTCTGGTTTCTTTTGTCGTTTTTTATTATTTACAGTATGAGTATGGTTTTGATCATCTCAATTTCATTGTGAACTATTGAGTTTTCACAAGCAGTCTGCTTGTTATTTGTGTATTTTTGATTTCATTTATTTGTATATGTTTATGTATTTGCCCTTGTATTAACTTGTTTGAAAGTATGCTCATATGAGTATAGTTTGATGCATATATGTCCAGTCTCTATTTCTATTTAAAAATAATTCAGATGGATAAAGTTATTATTTTGCAGAGTTGATTTTTTGGCATTTAAAATAAAATTACTTCTTTACCTTTTTGTCAGCTGTAACATTGTGTTTAGTTATTTAGGAATACACTTCTACAGCGGAAAATTTACTAATATGTGATTGATCTCAAGATACTGTACTAATTAAAATAATTTTTAAAGATTTGTTCCTTGTTTTACTTTATTAAATAGTAAGCATTTCTGACTGCTATCACAGATAACATATTCAAAATGTAGAGCCAAGAAAGAAATTTGAAGGGTACTCTTAGTGAATTTTATGTCCCACTAGAAGCAAGATTTGAAAGCGCACTGGGTGGGGAGGCAGAATATCTGGGTTCTATTATGGTTTTTCCATATATTGGTTATGTGAGTTTGGATTTAAACTTTCAGGGCTTTAGTTTCTATATCTCTGAAATGAGAGGTTGAATTAGATTACCCTTATGGTCTTTTCTAAATCTTAAATTCTTCAATTGATTCTTATTGGTATGGGAGGGAATTACAATGAAATTACCTTAAATGCCAGTCTCATTGTTTCTTTAGGTAATAAAATCATACCAAAATTATTTGAGGATATTGTATCGTTAGTCACTGTAGAAAGGCAAGTGAATATCCCTGCTTTAGATAATTGAAGAGCAAGCAAGTATATATATTTCTTTCTGAGTACAGATTATAAAATTTTCTTAAATTTTTTTTTTTTTACTGTACCCCAGGGTTAAATAATGTCAGGGAAAAATCTTGGCTTAACTCAAAAGTTTTAAAAACATTCCTCCCTATTTTATAGCTAATCAGACAGATTTTATACATTTTACATATTAGTATTTTCCTTCCCTGTGGAGTTTGAAATTTTGTTAGAAACTGATCTGAGGAAATTATTTTACATAAATTCATGATTTCTACCTTCAACCTTTTCTTCCTTTATTAGGTCCACATAAGTCAGTTTGAAGCACATACTAGCTACAATTAAAAAATAGTAAAGAGAAACTCTGTCAGGAATATTACCTGCTACTTTTAAAAAAGTATTTATTGAATACTTTAATAATTCACATTACAAATTCAAATGGTGCAAAAAAGGTATACAGTGAAAAATCTCCTTCCTACCTATGTCCCCACAGCCACTCACCTCTCTGGAAGCAAATACTATTGCCAGCTTATTGTGTCTCTTTCCAGAGATACTATGTGTCTTAGTTATCAAGTGCTGCTGTAACAGAAATACTACAAGTGGATGGCTTCAACAAAGAGAAGTTTATTCTCTCACAGTCTAGTAGGCTAGAAGTCTGAATTCAGGGTGCCAGCTCCAGCTGAAGGCTTTCTCTCTGTCAGTTCTAGAGGAAGGTCCTTGTTATCAATCTTCCCTTGGTCTAGGAGGTTCTCTATGCAGGAATCTCAGGTCCAAAGGACACACTCTGCTCCCGGAACTGCTTTCTTGGTAGTATGAGGTCCCCCTTCTCTGCTTGCTTCCCTTTCCTTTTATCTCTTATAAGATAAAAGGTGGTGCAGGCCACACCCCAGGGAAACTCCCTTTACATTGGATCAGGGATGTGATGTGAGCAAGGGTGTTACATCCCACCCTAATGCTCTTCAACATAATCCCGTCCTGCTTTATTAACCACAGGCAGAGATTAGGATTTACAACATATAGGAAAATTATATCAATCACAAAATGGAGGACAACCACACAATATTGGGAATCATGGCCTAATCAAGTCGACACATTCTGGGGGGACACAATTCAATCCAAGACAATATGTTACCTGTTGCTGTTGAGTTGATTCTGACTCATAGCGACCCTGTAGGGCAGAATAGAACTACCCCATAGGGATTCCAAGGAGTAGCTGGTGGATTCGAACTGCTGACCTTTTGGTTAGCAGCCTGCGCCACCAGGGCAGAAACAAATATTTTCATATTTAAAAATTGTGCTTATGTTTGGAATAAGGGCAATTCTACTCCGTCCTGTAGGGTTGCTATGAGTCAGAATCGACTCGACAGCAGTGAGTTTAGTTTTGAATACACGTACATGGTAAAAAATTAAAAAGGTAACAAAGGAGTATCCAGTGAAAAGAATTCTCTGCTCTCTGTTTCCCTCTACACAGAAAATCATTGTTTCTGATGTATCCTTCTAGATACGTATGAATAAACAAGCATTATTAATGTACAGCATGATGGCTTTTAAAATAGCGTCCAAAGTGTATATTTATTAGGATGGTATGTTTAAAATTATAAAATTCCTCATACATAGAAAGTCACTGAAATTTGGAAAAAAATCAGACCTATAGTATACCAGTGTAACACATTCCATTCAAAATTTCAAACTTATACCACAGGCATCCACTGTCTTAACCTGTTTCTAAATTCTTTAGGTATTATAATCTGATTATAAATAAGTAGGACACTATGAAACAAAAGCATACATGTAATTAAGCTGATAACATTTTGTTTCCAGGATTTGGGAAAGAAACACATTTATTAACTCAAAAGTAATATATAGAGAGCATTTTTTTTTGAGCTATAGGCATTCGGTTAAGTTGGTTGGGAGTAATGTCCCTTCTTGAAAACCAGCTCCTATGCTCAACTCCAGGTAAACCTCCAGACCCCTAGATGTCGCTGCGGCTCCACGAGGTGGGTGAGTATGCGTCTCTGTGGTTACGAAGTTGGGGGCAGAGAAGCCGAGAGTGGCTGGGAGATGATGGCTGATGAAGAGGAAGAAGTCAAGCAGATCTTGCAGAAATTGCAGGTGGGGCCATAGATTAAAATCTATACGTGCTTTTATTACTCGGGGAGAAGCAAAGGACTCAGTTTATGTAGTGCCGCCGAATTCCTTGGCACATACACGGCGCTGCCTATGTCTCTGGGGTTACTGTAACAACTCCTGAGGGTGCAGCCGAAGCAGCGAGGGGAGCCTCTCAGGCCAGGGGAGGGGCGCAGCCCATGTATTGGGACCTCCTTCTGCTGACCTGAGTGCACTTAATTTCAGTCCTGTGTGGAAGACGATTTGTTGCATCTAACTTTATTCCTGTACATTCTTAGGAAGGTTTTTTCTCGATTCATCCTTAACAGATGGCGTACATAAGTGTATGGCTGGACTATATGAGGTGTATTATCTCATGCAGTTTTGACCCCCACAAAGTCCATTTAACACTTCTCTGCTTTGACATTGGCATCAATCATAGTAATGGCCTGCACTGCATGTATGCTGGTACTCTCTTTGGGACTTCACAGTTTTTATCATTTTGCACACTCCAATCCCAGTTAGGGGTAACCCCAGTTGGAGAGTTGATGCAGAGGGGTCCAGAGTCTACCCCGTCCACATGTGATTGTGGTTGAGACTAGGACTTGTTTTTTATGCTTGGTAAATAGGAGTTAACTAGTTGCTGGACTCTTACCTTTCTTTTAATGATCCACGGTTTTCGTTTTAGACCTCAGAAACTCAGTCCTTTGTGTATTAACACAGCTTGGAATTTAAGCATTAGACCTATGGCAGGCTTGTAACTTGCTTAAAAGCTTCTAAGGCAAAAGTTTAAACACTGGTGAAATTTCTTTGTTTTTTGAACAGATTAATAACACTTTTTAGAGTGTAGGCTTTATTTCACTTCCAAGTGATTTAGATTAACTTCATTATATTTACCAGTGTGTACTGGATGAAATCAGAGGTTCTCAACCCTGGCTGCACATAAGAAACATTGTGTATATGTTTGAATATGTATAGAAAAAATCTGAAAAGAAATACTGAACAGTGGTTTTCTCTGAGGTTGTTTGGGATGATTATGAGGAATTTTGTGTTCTCTGTTTTTTACATATATCTATTTGATTTTTAACTACTTATATGTATTGATTTTGCCATGAGAAAAAGTTTTAAAAAATATTCACTCCAGCAAAACAAAACAAAACAAAAACAAAACCAAATAATTTCTTTGCATGCTTGCTTTAACAATTAAAAAAACACAAACAAATAAACAAACAATAAAACCCTCTTTAAAACTTCCAATTTGCAGCTATGCTGATTTTAGGACAAAAGGAGATGAGTTGTAATTTTTGCTGAGGACTGTCCCTTCCCGGACACCTTTGTGGTAGATGCCCTAAGCAGCTTGGTAGAGGATACTTGGGGTATTGTAGGTGCCAGAATTGAATAAGAGAATGGGGTAGAGGAGATGAAAAGGATTGGGTAGTGATATTACTATACATGGGAATGGTGGTAAGCTTTGATTTAATGGTTACAGACATTTTAGGATAGAAGGGATGTATAGAAGGATATTTCTCAAAGTGTTTTACGGACTATTTTCATTATAGTCATCCAGGGTGCTTGTTAAAAATGCAGAATTTGGAGTTTTGTTAAATCTACTAAAATCAGAATCTCTGTAGGCTGGGGCCTGGAAATACCCCACACAATAAAATTTGAAAAACACTACTGCAGAGGGTGATAGTCCACTCAGTTTATTTGGCGTAGCCTTTTACACTAAGCATAGCATATTTGTTAGAGGCAGGGAGGATTCATTAGTGAATTCATTCAACTAGTATGTTTAATGAGCGCCTATCATGTCCCAATCCCTGTTCTAGTGCTTGGATATAGTTGTAAACAAAACAGACAAGGTCCCTTCCATCATAGAGCTTACCTTTAGTGGTAGAGACAGACAATAGACAATTAAATGAATAGTTCATATAGTTTCGATTGATAAGTAAAATGTCATGAAGAGCATAATTTAACCATGGAAGAGAGGAGAAAGAGTTACTTTTGATTGGGTAGTTAGGGAAAGCCTCTCCGAGAAGTTGATATTTGAGCCGAGATCTAAATAATGGTGAGGAATGAGCCATGCACAGGTGTGGGGAGAGTGTTCCAGGTAGACGGCAAAGCACGTGTAAAGATGCTAAGTTGGAATGGCGCTTGGTGGATTTGAGGAACTGAACGAAGGGCAGGGTGGCTGAAGTGTTGCAGGAAGGAGAGTTTGATAAGAAGTGAAGTTTGTGGCAAGGTGGGGTAGTGGAAGGTCAGATCATACAGGACCTTCTAGGCCATGGTAAGGAGTTGGATTTTATTCTAACTGCAGTGGGAAACTATTGGAGGGTTTGTGAGGTGATGCACGCGTTTATAAGGACACTGACTACAGTGAGAATGGGAGAGAGTAGAAGCAAGATGCCCAGTTAGGAAGCTACTGGAATAGTCTAGGCAATTAATGATGCTGACTTAGACTAGGGTGGTCTAGCAGGAAGGAGACAAGTGGATGGATTTAGGGTGTGTTGTGGAGGTAGGTGATAAGATTTGCTGGGATTGTATTATGAGTTTCTTCTACTGTTCAGTTTTCGGAAAAGCTTTGACTGGTGGCACAGGAAGACTCAGTGATAAAGCATTAAAAAGAGGAAAGAGAATGCTTACTTGCAAAGACTGCAAGAGGGCCAGAAGATGACTTGCCAAATTGAACAAAACAAAACAACAACAAAAGCACAAATGTTTTTTAAAAAACCTGCAAAAATGCTAAGGTTACAGCAAGTTGGTCTGTTCATGGCGGAAAACATTGCTTTTCTCACGTTTATTATATTTGCAAAAGTCCTGTCATCAGCATAGGAAAAATCAGGAATAAAATTGTTTTTGTTAGGAAGTCCATGTTTAAGGGTAAAGTTCAAAGTTTTATTCTTTGGGGATCAGAACCAGATAGGATGAGCTTGTTAATTTTTGGTTTATCTCATGTTGTACAGTGTTTTCTCCTGCTCCTGACTGTGGTAGGTGAAGTGCTTAGTCACATTGGAAGCCCGGCTGGGGCTGGGGAAGAGAGAACTGTCATCATGGTGCAGAGACTACAAAAATGGGACAACCTGAGAGTGGGCCTGGGGCTCTGGCTACTTCCACGCATGATCTGTGGCATTTTGATAGGCCTGACCACCTGCCTATTGTGCCATTCCTAGGTGAGATAAACCCAAAACCAAACCTGCTGCTGTTGAGTTGATTCTGACTCATAGCGGCCCTATAGGACAGAGTAGAACTGCCCCATAGGATTTCCAAGGCTGTAAATCTTTACAGAAGCAGATTGCCACATCTTTCTGCCGTGGAATGGCTGTTGGGTTTGAACTGCCAACCTTTTGGTTAGCAGCCAAGCTCTTTAACCACTGTGCCTCTAGGGATCCTGTAGGTGAGACAGGGATTCAGTATTTCTAGGCCAAGGGCTGGTGAGGCTAGCCAGTCTCAAACTTCCTTGTCTGGTGTTCTTTCTGCCTAATGGTACCATCCTTACACTTCTAGGAACTGGTGGATCAGCTCTATTCATTTCGAGACTGCTATTTCGAGACACATAGTGTTGAGGATGCTGGGAGGAAGCAACAGGATGTACGGGAGGAGATGGAGAAGACTCTGCGACTGATGGAGGAAGTAGCAGGTATGAGTTCCAAAAGAGCACAACCCCCTTCCTGCTCTTCACCTGAATGTTATAGAGATTTGCTCTCTGTCTGTAGTCTCTTTGGGATCCTATCTGTGACAGCTATAGGATAGTATAACAGAATACTTCTTCTAAGGGCCCCTGTGTAGGGTGGTGACCTCTCAGTTCTCTAAACTACTTTTCCTAAAATTATAGCAAATACTATGGAATAAGAGAACATACTTGTTGCCTGAACTATTGCAGTAATGTTCATGACTGAGTTTTCTGCCTCTGATTTCTTTCATTTCCAAAGCACCTTATATAAATACCATGGCCACGGTTACCTTTCTAAACATTACTTCATTCATTTAATCTTATCGTCTTCAGAGATTTGTGCTATTGACTAGCAGAAGTCTAAGCCACTTAATATGGTATTCAGGTCTCCCTCATCTCACTCTTTTTTCTAACCTCATCTCTGACTACCTACTTACAGAGTAATCTTTCATTTCTTCCGGGTTGGTCCTTCCATTCTCCCATAAACAGGTCACGTGTATTTCTGCCTCTGCATCTTTGTTTACATCGTTTTCTAACCTGGAGGGCCTTGTCTTCTCTCCTCTTGACTTTTTAAAACCAACTCATTGGGCATACATAATATGCTCCTTTCCATTGTTGTTTTACTTTACTAGGTGAGATAAACCCCAAACCAAACCCACTGCTGTGGAGTCGATTCCAACTCATAGTGACCCTATAGGACAGAGTAGAGCTGCCCCATAGGGTTTCCAAAGCTGTAAATCTTTACGGAAGCAGACTGCCACATCTTTGGCCTTTCCACCAGATTGTAAACCCCTCAAGGGTAGGGGTGGTGCTTTCTTTGTTACCCCATTACCCAGCATAGTACTCTGCATATGGTTGGCTTTCAATAAATGGTTTGTATATAAAGATTTTCTTCAACTCTTTTATTCCTAGAGATGGCATGGAGTTACTCCTTGAGAGATAGTGCTCTAGTCTTATCTGAAAGACTGACTGGTTTTTTCAACTTTCCTTTCTCTTTTTCCCTTCCTCGTAGGTTCTGTCCAGGGCAAGGCCCGGGTTCTGATGCTCACTGGGAAGGCACTGAATGTGACTCCTGACTATAGCCTTAGGGCTGAGGAGCTTCTGTCAAAGGCTGTAAAGCTGGAACCTGAGCTGGTGGAAGCCTGGAACCAGCTGGGTGAGGTGTACTGGAAGAAAGGGGATGTTGCAGCTGCCCATACCTGCTTCTCAGGAGCCCTCACCCATGTGAGCTGCCCGCTGTCCCCTCAGAAAACGCGTGTAGAAAGGATGGGATTCCTCTGGTCTGTGAATTGCCCTAGGGTATGAATACTAGCACAGAGCTGAGTTAGAACCAGGAGAACAGAATCAGAAGAGAGGAAGAGTCGGGGAGCAGACCCGGATGAAGAAGGTCAGGACAGGGAACTGAGAAAAGAAGAAGGTAATGGGATCAGGTTCAGGGTAGATGGGAAGTGAAGAAAAGTTAACAACCAAGCTGGTCCTTGTAGATGGGGGTCTAAGATTCAGATGGCAGCAAGAATTAAAGAATTAGATTTAGAAGAGGATTGAGGTCAGAATAGATCTGGAAAGAGGAGGTATAATTAGCAATGTTGAGTAAACATCTCCATTCACAGTGCAAGGAATGTTGAGTAAACATCTTCTCCATTCTCAGTGCAAGAACAAAGTCTCCCTGCAAAACCTGTCAATGGTGCTTCGCCAGCTGCGGACTGACACTGGAGATGAACATTCTCGCTATGTCATGGATAGTGTCCGACAGGCCAAGTTGGCTGTGCAGATGGATGTCCATGATGGCCGCTCCTGGTGTGAGTGCTCTCAAAAGATCTCCAGACGTTTCTAGAGCAGTGGTTCTCAACCATGGCTGCACACCAGAATCATCTGGACCCCACCTATTGATTCTGACTCTGAGGGTGAAGCCAGGGCATGTTTGTTTTGAAGAAGCTCCAAAGGTACTTTGATGAACCACTGTTCTAGGAGGCTTATGTTTCCATATAAGGAAGGCAGAGATTTGTACGGTCTGTTCAAGGTTTCTTCATAGCGTTTGTGTTTGTCTATCTCAGTAGAATTTTGGTATACTAAATGTGGTGTTATCACTGGTTTGTGTCAGATGTGCCATCTTTCAAGTAGACTTTTGAGGATGACCAAAACAGGTCATATCTTGAACTTGGGCTCTGAGGTGACCCATCTCTGTATTTCTCTTTCAGATATCCTGGGGAATGCATACCTTTCTCTTTACTTCAATACTGGCCAGAGCCCTAAGATCTCCCAGCAAGCCCTCAGTGCTTATGCCCAAGCAGTAAGTACTTGGCGGTCACCCAGGCCAGATGAATAGAGGCAACAACAGAAGCAAGAGCGTCATTCTGTCTTCTTTGTGGCCCTTTAGCCAGAAGCCTGGGCAGTGTTTGCTGGCATCTAACGTGTGGGTTTGCTGAGCTGTGTCTGCAGAGGCAACTTATTTTTCCTTACAGCTTGAGTATTAGCAACCATCCGCAGTGTCGTGTCTCAGTGCTGGAGCCCTGGTGGTGCAGTAGTTAAGAGCTCAGCTGCTAAAAGAGGACAGCCATTTGAATCCACCAGCCGTTTTTGGGAAACCATATGGGGCAGTTCTACTCTGACATATAGGGTCGCTGTGAGTCGGAATTGACTCGATGGGAATGGGTTTGGTTTTTTTTGGTCTCAATGCTAGATAGCTCCTTGAGCAGTCTAGATTTCTCACAGTCATGCCTAACCAAACCACAGAACTCACTTCAGCAAGTGCATTGTTTTTAATGGGCAAAAAATTTTTTAAAATATTTATTCCTGTTGGTGTACATTTTTAAATAGAAAGGAAAACTCCAGTTGTTGCTGTTTTTAGCTGCCGTCCAGTTGGCCCCTGACTCTTGGTGACCCCATGCCCAATGGAATAAAACGTTGCCCGGTCCTGCACCATCCCCATGGTTGGTGGAGAATTGGACCATTGTGACTCATAGCATTTTATATTGGCTGATTTTTTTTGGAAGTACTGTATTTTTACACAAATAATGCATACCTTCTGCGTTTTTTTGACAACTGCGCCCTCACCCCGGGAGGTATTTTCATAAGAGCTGCTATCCCAATTATTTTTAACATGTTGCTGTGAAAAAAAATTAGCATAGCATGTTTACGAAAATATCGGGGAAAGGTAGGGGGAGGGTGCAGCTGGCAAATGAACGTAGAAGACATGCATTATTTGCATAAATATATGGTCTATTGCCAGGCCTCTTTTTCTAGTCTGTCTTAGTGTGGAAGCTCTGCTGAAACATGTTCAGCATTATAGCAACATGCAAGTCTCCACTGACCAGTGAGTAGTGGCTGCACTTGAGGCACATTGGCCGTGCAAATTAAGGGCTATTCCCAAATTAACTGTTAGATATTCTGGCTCTGGATTTCCCTTAGACTCAAACAGGTAATAGCATGTAGGCCCTTCTGCATCATTTCCTAGGAATTAATTCACTGGAGCCCATGCTTTGCTTTTAGGCCATGCTGTATTGATAGCCAAATGCATGGGCTCTTCAGGCTTTGTCTGCTCAGTTACTGGTTATTTGGAGATTCACATTGGCCTTCTGAGCACCTTTTATTTAACCCTCATATTTAACTTTTCTTTTGCTTTCTTCTCTTGACATAGGGAATTGCTTCTTAACTTGCCGTTATATCTCCCCAGAGGCATTTTACAATTTATTAGAAAACCTCAGTTTTACAATAATAAAAAAAACCTCACAATTATAAGACCTACTACCTTATCTGTAAAATCCAGCATTCTGGTTTTTTTTTGTAGTAAATATATGTGTAACAAAACATTTGCCATTTCAACATTCCTCACATGTATAATTCAGTGACATTAATTGTGTTCATGATGTTGTGCATTCATCACTGTTATCTGTTTCAAATTTTTCCATCACCCTTATTAGAAGCTCAGTGTCCTCTAAGCAATGATTCTCCCTTTCTCCCCTCCTTCCTGCCTGCCCCTGGTAACCACTAATAAACAGGTCTGTATACACTTGCCTATTCCAGATATTTCATATAAGTGGATCATACAATATTAGTCCTTTTTGACTGATTTTACTCAGCATGGTGTTTTCAAGTTCATCCATGTTGTAGCATGTATCAAGACTTCGTTTCTCTTTATTGGCATTACTTTTTTGCTCTGTATGGCATAAGAAAGAATACAGTTACCCCATATTCATGTGTGCAGTTCAGGGACTGCCCTTTTTTCAGTTAAGAAACTTAGGCAGAGAAATTATATTTTGCTCTTATTTCTTAATCTGATGAATGTTTACATTTCCAATAATATGATGTACTCCTTTATGATTTTATATTTGACTTCTCTTAAATGGTTGTTTTAAATTCTTCACCCATACCTGCAGTTTAAAATATATGTGAACCAACCATTGTAAACAGTTTTAATTCATGTTGTTTATGCTTTGGCAATGTGCCAGGCAATGAATAGAATTAAAAAAATAGAATGAAGATAGCCAGCAGTTTCTTGAGAGCACATTTGTCTGCCCTGTCCTATGATTTTTGACCAGCTGTTAAAATTAGAGAATCAGAATTTGACACTTCCAGTGTGTGTTTTAAGGAGCTTGGATATAGAAACATTCTGCATGTGCCTGGAGTCAAACTCATGGGCAAACGAAATGCATTAAGTTAACATCATTTCTGTCAGAGGCTTTCCTCATTAATATCAGCATCTCACTATTTAAAAAAGAAAAAAAATCAGAATGCTTTCTCATACTTCTTTTCTATCTTTCTAATATCGTATGGATAAATTATAATCATATTTTAAAGTTCCATGCACACACACACACAAAACCCCATACATTGCTGAGGTTTCAGGGACTGAGTAATCCTTTTTAGATGATGTTTTGTGTTATACTTGTTGGTAACTATATACCACACAAGCAGTTGGTATGTAACAGTGTGGGTATGGGTAGCATTTTGACAAGAGACTTAGCATTTTTTTTTAGAGAGAAGAGGTCTAGGAACGGTTGAGCATGGCCCTCCTTAAGACTGAGACAGGATCCACTGATGATCTTTTTATCCCACTGTAGGAGAAGGTCGACAGGACAGCTTCCAGCAATCCTGACCTTCATCTGAACAGGGCGACGGTAAGACCTGTGAGGTAGTGGTCCTCTGAGGATAACTGAGTACATATAGAGACAAGGTTGGGTACAGATTTCTAGCAGAAAGCCAGATTATTTCTAGGAAGAGTTAGCTCACTTTGGCTTCAGTATCTGGTGGAGTTACTGGAGGCGGAACGGACTGAGGAGGTGGGATGGTACATAGAGGATGGGGAAATAGTTTAGAAGACTTCTCTGAAATGTTAATTATAGGTATAAAATGACCCAGTATATGCAATTTAATTATTTTAGAGCTTGGAGGATAGCTTCTTTGAAATGATTCCAGCTTTGGGGTTGTGATCACCTTGGCCAGGAAGGAAGGTTGTAAGGTGTTACCAGCTCTCCAGGCTGTTCATGGTAGGACTGGGAAGGGAAGCAGTTTATTTCTCTAAATTCCTAGCCCCTATGCCTTTCCTCCCCCTGCATAGTTTGTATTAAATACACTTGTAATTGGGAGGTTTTGGGTTACTTCTTGTGCAGTTGCATAAATATGAAGAGAGTTACAGAGAGGCCCTGGAGGGCTTCTCTCGGGCTGCAGCACTGGACCCTGCCTGGCCTGAGCCCCTGCAACGAGAGCAACAGCTCCTGGAATTCCTGGATAGATTAACCAGCCTCCTTGAGAGCAAGGTAAAGACGTCTAAAGGACTGGACCCTGCTCTTTCATTTTGGGTAGGGTCAGTAAAATAAGAAGAAAATAGGCCGATGTGGTGTTGATCTGATAGAGGTGTGTGGTTGGAGGGAAAGACTAGACTCTCAAGCAGAGTGACTTAATTTCCGGCTCCTTATCTATTTCTTTTGCAGGGAAAGGTAAAGACCAAAAAGTTGCAGAGCATGCTGGGAAGCTTGCGCCCAGCTCATCTAGGCCCTTGTGGTGATGGGCGCTATCAGTCAGCCTCTGGGCAGAAGGTGACCCTGGAGCTCAAGCCATTGAGTGTGCTTCAACCTGGTGTGAATAGTGGTGCTGTGGTCCTGGGAAAGGTGGTGTTTAGCCTAACCACAGAGGAGAAGGTCCCCTTGTGAGTGTCTCTTGCCTTTCCTTTTTTATGCCCCTCTGAACTAATTGCCTGCACTTCCTGGCCTTTCACTGACAGCTGAGGACATTGTTAGTGGACACAGATTAGTGAATTCTTCTTCCCTTCTGTGGCTGTCCCATGAGTAGGTATTGTCTAACCAGCTGAACCAGTTGCTGTCAAGTTGATTCTTTTTTTTTTTTTTTTTAATTTTATTGTGCTTAGTAGGTGAAAGTTTATGGCTCAAGTTAGTTTCTCATTCAAAAATTTATACACATATTGTTTTGTGACATTGGTTGCAGTCCTCACAATGTGACAACACTCTCCCCATTTCTAACTCGGATTCCCTGTGTCTGTCCAGTTCCTGTCCCTTCCTGCCTTCTTGTCTTGGTTTGGGACAGGAGTTGCACATTTGATCTCATATATTTGATTGAACTAAGAAGCACGTTCTTCACATGTGTTATTGTTTGTTTTAAAGGGCTGTCTAATCTTTGTTTGAAAAGTGGGTTTTGGGAGTGGTTTCAGTTCTGAGTTAGCAGAGTGTCCGGGGGCCATAGTCTTGGGGGTTCCTCCAGTCTCTGTCAGACAAGTAAGTCTAGTCTTTTTTGTGAATTTGAATTTTATTCCGTGTTTTTCTCCCACTCAGTCCGGGACTCTGTTGTGATCCCTGTCAGAGCAGGAGGTGGTGGTAGCTGGGCAACATCTAGTTCTTCTGGGCTCAGGCTGGTGGAGGCTCTGGTTCATGTGGTCCTTTAGTCCTTTGGACTAATACTTCCCTCATGTCTTTGGTTTTGTTCATTCTCCTTTCCTCTGGATGGGATGGGACCCATAGATGTGGCTTAGATGGCTACTTGCAAGCTTTTAAGATCCCAGATGCTATTCACCAAACGAAGTAGGATGTAGAACATTTTCTTTATGAACTTTGTTATGCCAGTTGACCCAGATGTCTCCTGAGACTGTGGTCTCCAGCCCTCAGCCCTAGTAACTCAGTCCCTCAGGGTGTTTGGATGTGTCTAGGAAACTTCTATGACTTTGCCTTGGTCAAGTCTTGCTGACTTGCCTTATATTGTGTATTGTCTTTCCCTTCACCAAAGTTGACACTTGTCTACTGTCTAGTTAGTGATTTCCTCTCCACAGCCCTCCCCACCCATCTGTGTGTAAACCTTTTCTTGAGTTCTTGTAGTAGTAGTCTCATAAAAAATTTTCCTTTTGTGATTGACTTATTTCACTCAACATAATGCCCTCCAGATTCATCCATGTTGTGAGATGTTTCGCGGATTCATTATTGTTTTTTATCGTTGCGTAGTATTCCGTTGTGTGTATGTACCATAATTTGATTATCCATTCATCTGTTGATGGACATTTAGGTTGTTTCCATCTTTTTGCTATTGTGAATAATTCTGCAACGAACATAGATGTACATACATCTATTCATATGATACCTCTTATTTCTCTAGGATATATTACTAGGAGTGGGATTGCTGGATTGTATGGTATTTCTATTTCTAGCTTTTTAAGGAGGTGCCATATTGTTTTCCATAGTGGTTGTACCATTTTACATTCGCGGTAGTAGTGCATAAGAGTTCCAATCTCCCTGCAACCTCTCTAAAGTTTGTTTTTTTTTTTTTGATTAGTGCCAGTATTGTTGGGGAGAGATGGTATCTCATTGTAGTTTTGATTTGCATTGCTCTAATGGCTAATGATTGTGAGCATTTCCTCATGTGTTTGTTAGCTGCCCGAATGTCTGGAGACATTATTTGTCTTTTTGTTGTTGAGATGTTGAAGTATTTTGTAGATTTTAGAGATTAGACCCTTATCCGATATGTTGTAGCCAAAATTTTTTTCTCCAGTCTATAGGTTCTCCTTTTACTCTTTTGATGAAGTCTTTTGATAAGCATAAGTGTCTAATTTTTAGGAGATCCCAGTTATCTAATTTCTCTTCTGGTGTTTGTGGATTGTTAGTTATGGTTTGTATTGTATTTATGCCATGTCTCAGGGTCCCTAGCACTGTCCCTATATTTTCCTACATGATCTTTTTGGTTTTAGGTTTTATATTTAGGGCTCTGATAACATTTTGAGTTAGTTTTTGTGTATGGTGTGAAGTGTGGATATTGTTTCATTTTTTTACAGATGGATATCTAGTTATGTCAGCAACATTTGTTAAAGAGACTGTCTTTTCCGAACAGACTTTCACCCTTTGTCAAATATCAGCTGCTCATGGATGGATTTACATCTGGGTTCTCAGTTCTGTTCCATTGGTCTGTGTGTCTGTTGTTGTACCAGTACCAGGCTATTTTGACTACTGTGGCTGTATAATAGGTTCTAAAACAAGCAGTGTGAGGCTTCCCAATTTGTTCTTCTTCAGTAATGCTTTACTTATCTGGGGCGTCTTCAATTTCCATATAAAGTTGATGATTTATTTCTCCATCTTGTTAAAGAATACTGGTGGCATTTGGATCAGGATTGCATTGTATCTGTAGATTGTTTGGGTAGTATTGACATTTTCACGATGTTGAGTCTTCCTATCCATGAGCATGGTATGTTTTTCCATTTATGTAGGTCTCTTGGTTTCTTGCAGCAGTGTTTTGTAGTTATCTTTGTATAGGTCTTTTACGTCCCTGGTTAGATTTATCCGTAAGTATTTTGTCTTTTGGGGGGCTGCTGTAAATGATATTAATTTGCTGATTTCCTTTTCGAAGTTCTCTTTGTTGGTGTAGAGAAATCCAACTGATTTTTATGTTAAGGTTGTATCCTGCTACTTTGCTGACATCTTCTATTAGTTGCAGTAGCTTTCTTGTGGATTCTTTTTTTATTTTTTTTTAGAGTGATTTAGGTGAAACTTTACAGAGCAAATTAGTTTCTCATTTAACAGTTAATACACAATTGTTTTGTGACATTGGTTGCCGACCCCGCAATGTGTCAACATTCTCCCCTTCTCTACCCCAGGTTCCCTGTTTCCATTCGTCCAGTTTCCTGTCGCTTCTTGCCTTCTTGTCTTTGCTTTTGGGCTAGTTTGCCCATTAGTCTCGTATCCATGATTGAACTATGAAGCACAACCCTCATGTATGTTACTGTTGGCCCTTTAGACCTGTCTAATCTTTGAGTAAAGGGTGAACTTCAGGAGTGATTTCAGTACTGAGTTAAAAGGTTATCCGGGGACCATGCTCTTGGGGTTTCTCCAGTCTCTGTCAGATCAGCAGGCCTGGTCTTTTTTGTGAATTTGAATTTTGTTCTACATTTTTCTTAAGCTCTGTCCGAAACTCTCTATTGTGTTCGTTCCCTGCCAGAGCAGTCGGTGGTGGTAACCAGGCACCATGTAGTTGTTCAGGGCTCAGTCTGGTGGAGGTTGTGGTAGTTTGGTCTGTTACCCCTCTTGTGGATTCTTTGGGATTTTCTATGTATAGGATCATATCATTTGTGAAGAGTGATGGTTTTACCTATTCCTTACCAATTTGGATGCCCTTTATTTCTTTTTCTTGCCTTGTTGCTCTTACTAGGACTTCTAACATGATGTTGAATAAGTGGGTGATAAAGGGCATCCTTGTCTGATTCCTGTTCTCAAGACGAATAATTTCAGTCTCTCTCTGTTGAGAATGATGTTAGCTGTTGGTTTTGTATAAATGCCCTTTATTATGTTGAGGAATTTCCTTTCTATTCCTATTTTGCTGAGAGTTTTTAAAAGGAATGGGTGTTTGACTTTATCCCATGCCCTTTCTGTGTCGATTGAGATGATCATGTGATTCTTTTGTTTTATTTATGTGGTGGATTATGTTGATTTATTTTCATCCTTGCATACCTGGTAGGAATCCCACTTGGTCATGTTGTATTATTTTTTTGATATGCTGTTGAAGTCTGTCGGCTAGAATTTTGCTGAGAATTTTTGTGTCTGTATTCATGGTGTGTAGTTTTCTTTTTTGTGTGTGCATTTCTTTGCCTAGCTTTGGTATCAGGGTTATGGTGGCTTCACAGAATGAATTTGGGAGCATTTCTTCCTTTTCTGTGCTCTGAAATATTTTGAGTAGTACTGGTGTGAGCGCTTCTCTGTAAGTTCGGTAGAATTCTCCAGTGAAGCCGTCTGGGCCAGGGCTCTTTTTGTTGGGAGTTTTTTTGTTAACTCTTCAATCTCATCTTTTGTTATGGGTCTGTTTAGTTTGTCTACCTCAGTTTCTGTTAGTTTAGGTAGGTAGTTCGTTTCTAGAAATTTGTTTCTTCTAGGTTCTCAAATTTGTTGGAGTACAATTTTTCATAGTATTCTGTTGTGATCTTTTTAATTTCAGTTGGGTCTGTTATGATATCACCCATCTCATTTTGTATTTGGGTTATTTGCTTCCTCTCCTGCTTTTTTTTTGTCAGTTTGGCCAGTGGTTTGTCGATTCTGTTGATCTTTTCAAAGAACCAACTTTTGGTCTTGTTGATTCTTTCTATTGTTTTTCTGTTCTCTATTTCATTTATTTCTACTCTACTCTTTGTTATTTCCTTTCTTCTGGTGCCTCTGGGCTTCTTTTGCTGCTCTCTTTTTGTATTTGTTCAAGTTGTAGAGTAATGTTTTGATTTTGACCCGTTCTTATTTTTTTGATGTGTATGTTTATTGCTGTAAATTGATCTCTAAGCACTGCTTTGCTGTGTCCAAAAGGTTTTGGTAATATGTATTTTCATTCACGTTAGATTCTATGAATTTTTTTATTCCATCCTTGATTTCTTCTGTTACCCAGTTGTTTTTAAGCAAAGTGTTATTTAATTTCCATGTATTTGATTTTTTTCCCTTGCTGTTTCTATTATTAATTTCTACTTTTATGGCATTATGATCAGAAAAGATGCTTTGTATTATTTTGATGCTTTGGGTTTTGTTGAGGCTTGCTTTGTGGCCTAAAATATGGTCTATTCTGGATAATGTTCCATGTGCATTGGAAAAGAATGTATACTTTGCTGCTGTTGTATGGTATGTTTTGTATATGTATATGAGGTCGAGTTGGTTGATTGTGGCATTTAGGTCTTCTGTATCTTTA